TTTCCAATCTTCCGGGACTTCCCCCGATCACCAAGAGTTTTCAAAGATAATGGCCAATGGCTCTGCAATCACATCCGCCAATTCCTTTAGCACTCTCGGATGCAACGCATCCGGCCCCATGGACTTGTGCACATCCAGTTTTTCAAAATAGTCCCTAACCACTTCTTCCTTCACAGAGGGCTGGCTACCTCCTCCCCATGCTGTGCTGCCCAGTGCAGTAGTCTGGGAGCTGACCTTGTTCGTGAAGACAGAGGCAAAAAAAGCATTGAGTTCGTTAGCTTTTTACACATCCTCTGTCACTAGGTTGCCTCCCTCATTTAGTAAGGGGCCCACAATTTCCTTGGCTTTCTTCTTATTGCCAACATACCTGAAGAAACCCTTCTTGTTACTCTTAACATCCCTCGCTAGCTGCAACTCCAGGTGTGATTTAGCCTTCCTGATTCCATTCCTACATGCCCGAGCAATATTTATATACTCATCCCTGGTCATTTGTTCAATCTTCCACTTCTTGTAAGCCTATTTTTTGTGTTTAAGATCAGCAAGGATTTCACTGTTAAGCCAAGCTGGTCGCCTGCTGTATTTACTATTCTTTCTACACATCGGGATGGTTTGTCCCTGTAACCTCAATAAGGATTCTTTAAAATACAGCCAGCTCTCCTGGACTCCTTTCCCTCTCACGTTATTCTCCCAGGGGATCTTGCCCATCAGCTCAGTGAGGGAGTCAAAGTCTGCTTTTCTGAAGTACAGGGTCCATATTCTGCTGCTTTCCTTTCTTTCTTCTGTCAGGATCCTGAACTCGACCATCTCATGGTCACTGCCCCCCAGGTTCCCCCCCCCTTTTCCCCCCCCCCCCACTCCTCCCTGTTTTTGGGGCGGAGGGCCAGAAGGGCCCCCCCCCCTTGGGTCCTCCCCCCCCCCCTCCCCCAAGGAATCCCCCCCCCTCCCCTCCCCACCCCCCCTGTGTTTGCCCGCCCCGCTTTGCTCTCCCCCCCCGTCTCTTTGGTGGTGGTTTCCCCCCCCCCCCCCCGGGGGCGGGTGCCCCCTCCGCCTCCCCCCCCCGCCTGAGCAACGCCTCCCCCCCCCCCCCCCCCCCCCTTCTTTGTTTGTTCCCCCCCCCCCCCCCCCCCTCCCCCCCTCCTCCCCCCCCTCTTCCCCCAATCCACCCCAGGTTTTCTTTTTTTTTTTTTCCTTTCTTTTGGGGGTTTGGTTTGTTTCCTTCCTTCCTTCCACTCTCCCCCTCCCCCCCCCTTCCCCCCCCCTTCCTCCTCCCTTTAAATTTTTCCCCCCCCCCACCCTCCCCCCCTTGTTTTTGTTTCCCCCCCCATTTTTTCTTTTTCCCATCCCATTCCTATTTCTCTTTTCTTCCCCGTCTCCCCCTTTTTTCTTCCTTTCCTTCCTTTTTTTTTTTTTTTATAGGGGGGAGAGAGAAATCACTCCCCTTCCTCTTTTTTTTTTTTGGGGGGGGGGCTCCTTTCTCTCTCCCCTTTTTTTTTTTTTTTTTTTTCTTTTTTTTTTTTTCAGGCCCCCTTACCTCAGGGCTCTGTCAACCCCAACCCCCCCCTCAACCCCCTCTAAAGTGTAGTTCAACTGTCTGTTCAAAAACTCGATGTGAGAGTCCAGTCAGTCAAATGAAGTTTCATAATGCAAAGAGCATGGTGGTGGGGTGGGAAGGGAGTCCCCAATGAGTCAGGTCTTTTGTCTGAGCTGCTACTGTCAGTATTTAATCAAGAAGTGGGAGCTGTCAACTTTGCATATACTGGATTGACCTGAAGGGGTTTAAGCCAGGAAGCAGGGAGTGTGTGGGGCCTGGGTAGGTGTATGGAGCGCTGGGTTCAGGTGGGTGGCCAGAAAAATCGAGCAAAGGCTGTGAGGGTCTCTCTTTAGTTTAATACATTGTCTGATACTTGATCAGAGATCACACCCACTATGGAGCGATGGGCAACAAGATGGAATATTGTCTGGGAATTATATAGATAAAACCTGACTTTACTCATGGCCTGGTGACCCTTCCTATTCCTGTGCCCAGTGGGGTATTGTTTATGATCTGAAGCCCTTTGCAGCTGATGGGATAAGGGGGAATCCACAGCTGGTGTTTCTGTAGTATCATTTGTAGGTTTCGGTTCACTGTGCGCTTTGCACAGTAATACAGGGCGGTGTCCTCGGTCTTCAAGTTGCTCATTTGCAAATAAACCATGTTGTTGGGATTGTCTCTGGAGATGGTGAATCAACCTTTGACGGAATCAGCGTCGTACGTAGAGGTGACTTGAATGTGGGCAACCCACTCCAGGCCCTTTCCAGGAGCCTGACGGACCCAATTCATGTCATAATCACTGAAGGTGAACCCGGAGGCTTTGCAGGAGAGGCGGAGAGGGTCTTCAGGCTTTTTCACATCCCCTCTGGACTCCACCAGCTGGACGTGGGACCGGGCACCTTGGAATAAGGACATGTTTAGAAATGGTACTGAGAACAAGAATACAATATCTCCCCTTTCTCTGCAATGCATTTAAGAGTGGTGAATACCTTCCAAAGCTGCTAGAATGAAAACCAAATGGAGCCAAAGTCTCATTTTCCCCGCTGCTGGAGGGGAAAGTTCTCAGGGGATTGGCCGGTCACTGCACAGACCCAGTGGGCTGTGGACTGTGTCTCCAGGTGCTGCCTGGGCAGAGAGAGGGACAGATTTAAACAGGAAATTTCTCGACCTATCTGAATATCCCCTTCCTTATAAGACACAAGCTCCTGCCCTTTGCTTTACCCTCAGTCTTGAAGAAGAGGACTCAGCGGGCCCCTTATCCTGTGTTGTGAGGTGGCTGGGCTGGGGGATCATGTTTGCGCTTTTACCTAAGGGAGAAGTAAAATGATCTCAAATCCCAAGACATCCTTTCCTGGCCAGACACAGTGTGTTCTTGGGTCAGGGAAAAGCTTCCCTTATTCCTCATTGCCTTTGGGTTAGACTGTGGGAGACAAGAGTATTTGGCAGCAGGACCAGAATCTGAGAAACTCTCTGAGGACAAGGGGAAGCAGATTCAGCATTTTGTAGCCATGGGAGACCTGACAGTGACAATTGGCTGACAGCTAATGCGGGATGGGAATGTCACACAAGACTTTGGGGAGGCCGGAGCCAAATCTCATTCAGTGGGAGCTGCGTTCTGTGATCCTAGTGCCCCCCTGACCCCCCACCCACGGGCCTCTGCTTCTCCCTCAGCAGCCGCCTCCCCCTGAGCGACCCCATGAAATCCCACCGTGTTCCTGTCCACAGCCCTTAGCCACGTGACTGTCCCCAATGCCCTGCGGGCCAGCGCTGGGCTGAGTGATGCCATCGGGGGCTGAGGGGCGGGGTCTTTTATCTCCATGGTGACTCTGTGACATGGGGGCACTTTACTGGGGGTTGGGATGTCTCAGCTCCACCCACTGACACCAGCGGAGGGTCCGGGCCGGGATTTCCACAGGGCAGTTGGTGAAAACAACCCAGGAGCCGCTTCGGAAAGTCCCGGCGGCGCCACATCCCCCGGCGCAGCGGAGCGGGGTTTATTCCGGCGCCGGGTGATCTCTGCCCCCCAGCCCCGCCCGGACCCTGAATGGCCCATTTCCACACCCCGGCCTCCATCTCTCTCTGCCTCAGTCCCCCCTCTGAACCAGGGGCTGTGATCGTTCCCCGGCCTCCCGGCAGCGTTTGGGGGATAAAGGCAATAACCGCATGTAAAGGGCGGAGACGCCATGGTGAGGGGCTCCAGGGCCGGTGTAACCAATAGGTGAACTAGGCGGCTGCCTAGGGTGCCAAGATTTGGGGGCGCCAAAAAGCAGTGCCCAAATTTTTTTTTACACTATTGCTGAGGGGCAGGTACCTGTCAGTCTCCAGCGCTCGGGCCACGCCAGGGCCAGCAGCCTCTTCACCTCGGAGTCTCCTCCCGCTTGCCCAGGGGCCACCCCTCCTGTCAGGCTCCCCGGCCGCTGCCACCACGGCCACCTGGAGGACACGGGCGAGGGGCACTGCCTCAGAGGAGACGCAAGGGGCCGGGCTTGGGTGGGGCCCCACATCTGCCGGCCGAGAGCAGCAGGAACCGGGCGCTGCTAGGTGGGAGCCAGGCGGCCCAAGCCCAGGGCAGCAGCAGCCTCCGCAGCAGCAGGGGCAGGCTGGGAGCGTAGGTGCCCTGGGCTCGGGCCACCCGGCTCCCCCCGAGTGGTGCCTGGTTCCTGCTTCTCTCAGCCGGCAGGTGCGGGGCCCCAGCCAAGCCCAGCCCCTTGCGTCTCGTCTGCGGCGGCACCCCCCACCTGCGTCCTCCCGGGCGGCTGTGGCCGGGGAGCCTGAGAGGAGGGGTGGCCCCCGGGCAAGGGAGGAGACTCTGAGGTGAAGAGGCTGCAGGCCCTGGCGCGGCCTGAGTGCTGGAGACTGACAGGTACCTGCCCCTGCCCTATCCCGGCACCGCCTGCCCCCCAGCCCAGTGAGTGTTACCTGCCCCACCAGCCTCAGTGCCCTGCCCCATACTGTCAGCCACCCCAAGCCCACTGTGACACCAGCTCCCCTTGGCAAAGGGCCCCCCGATCTTCACAAACAGCTGTCACCGCAGGCCTGACAAACTCACTGCACCCCACACGTGTCTTACAGGGCACTGACCCACAAAGAGGAACGTGGAAGGGATCTGCACAAGGCTGGTAAGTTGCCAAGAGTGAGAATCTCTGTGAGATGTGTGCATGGGTAATATTGAAGGAATAATGTATTTACCTTAAAAGTCTGCTTTACAGACTTGGAGTAGAAATTAGTCTCCAGGGGATAATGGCCCTTTGGGGCAAGGGGGATTTGTCACCCAGCTAACTTGGCTGGTGATGCAATGCAAGGCTCAGTTGTTTAGCTTTGCACAACAGGAAGACTTTGAATGGGACACCATCAGAGGCGATGGCAAACAACTGAAACTCCTTAAAGGTAAAAAAGAAACAATACAAGAGCCGTTACCCGTTCTGAGAGGCTGTTTATAATGCTAAGATTACTAGTTTCTGGAGGTGGGGGGGGGCACAGTGGAGGGGGACGGGGAGGAGGGTCGCCAGGTGGAAGTTTCGCCCAGGGCGCAAAATTATCCTTGCACTGGCCCTGGGGGCCTCACATCGGTTATAACGAGCTAATCACCTTCCGCTGCATTAATGCGATAAACATCCCAGTTTGCTGAAAGGGCCAGAGCCTCCCTGGTGTAAATCAGGAGTAACTCCAGTCCAGTGAAAGCAGTTGCGGTGTCTTTACACTGGCGGAGGATTTGGCCCCAGGAGCAATTCTCTCCACCCGTTGGGTCTGATGCAAACCCCAACGCGCTTGTCCCCTTTACACTGACAGACGCTGGCCTGTGAGTCTGACACCGAGACTGGCCCAGCGGGAGCCAACGTACCGGGTCTGCGGGGGGAGAGCGACTCAGAACAGGACTCACTCCGGATTGGGGTTCACAGATGAAGCGAGGGATCTGTGCACTCAGCGGGGCTCTGGGCAGGAAGGGGAGACACATTGCCCGGGAACGGAAGGGTTAAACTGGCGGGAGGTTTGTGTCCCGTTCCCCCGGGTGCCGGGTCTCCTGCCCGAGCCCGAAGCGGGGGGTGTCGCTGCTGCCCCCGCGCGGCCGCCGGGAGAAGGGCGATTCCGCAGCCTGGGTTTTTGTACGATCACAAACCGGTTTGGTGTCACTGTGTCTCTCGCACAGTAATAGCGGGCGGTGTCCTCGGGCTTCAGGCCGGTCATTTGCAGATACAGCTCACTCTTGGCGTTATCCCTGGAGATGGTGAATCGCCCTTTCACTGCATCGAGGTAGTCTATACTACTCCCATCGTAGCTTATATAAGCGACCCATTCTAATCCCTTCCCGGGAGCCTGGCGGACCCAGCTCATCCCGTAGCTGCTGAAGGTGAACCCGGAGGCTTTGCAGGAGAGGCGGAGAGAGTCTCCGGGCTTCTTCACACCCCCTCCGGACTCCACCAGCGTCTGGGACCGGACACCTGGGAATAAAGACAGGCCATTAATGTCGGTATAAGAACAGCGGTAACACAATATTCTTCTAACTCTGCCAGGTCTTCAGAGGAGGAAAATACCTTCCAAAGCTGCTAGAGCGACAATGACAAGGAGCAAAAATCCCATTTTCCCGGGTGCTGGAGGGGAAAGTTCTCAGGGGACTGGCTGGTGACTGCACAGACCCAGGGGGCTGCGGATTGTGTCTCCGGGTGCAGCCTGGGAAGAGAGAGGCAGAGATTTAAAGAGGAAACTGTCTCCCTCATTTGCATGCCCCGCTTTATAAGAGACACACGCTCCTGCTGCCAGTGATCGGATTGACTCGCCCCAGGGCTCCGGCTGCAGGAGTCAGAGTGTCCCGTCCTGTGTGTCTGTGCAGCGCCGGGCACAGGGCTCTGGGGTCCTCCTGACACTTTCAGACCCTGGGAGGAATGAACAGCTCCCTGCAGTGACTGTATTTCCTCGCATGGGAACTGAGGGCCTGGCTATTGTGAGGGGATATTGGGGACTGGGGGGACTCAGCTCTGGAGCCCCTTTCCACGTCCGGTCAGGGGAGACAGTGTCTGGAGAGGGGTCGTGTGCCAGGGATCCATTGGTCTGGGCCACCCGCTGGAGAGGGAAGGTTCCCATCGCATGGGGAGGGAAGCCCCCTTCGCAGCAGTGACCGGCTACACTGAAATGATCCATTTGTAGAGGAGAGTTAGGTGCTTGATCCAGGGATTGGCAAAAGCCAGCACAATGAGTGGAGAGCTGCCTGACCTACCCCTTCGGAAATGCTGAGGAGGGGTTGGGTCCTAAGTACCACCTGTTAAAGGGAGTTAGGTGCCTATCTCCAGCTGGGATTCACAGCCCTGTCCTGGAGTTAGTCCCAGGTATTTACATTCAGAAACACGCCCAAACCCCCTTGTGCCAGTGGTTAGAGCACTTGCCTAGGACATGGTAGAGCCAGGATCATTTCCTGACCCTCTGCCTGATCCGGGAGCAGGGACTTGAGCCCCGGTCTTGCACTGTCAAGGGCAGGGTGACATCTGGGGTACAGACACCCCCAGCACATCCCTTTCTCTTTCAGACCAAATCAGTATTAATTAAGTCACGGTGGAACAGCATGAACAGGAGAGATTGAAAGACCCCTCCCCAAATACCCCGTAGCCTGGTGCTCAGGGCGTTCACCCAGGACCGTTTTGCTGCTGTGACAGGCGACTGTGTCACAGGAGCCTAATTCATATTTTGAGAATTGACTTTGGAGAGGAGAAAAATCTACCGACAGTGACGTTTAAGTAAGATAGGAGCCGAAGACGTTTGGGGAGGAATAACCCCCTGTCTGTTTAGATGGGCAAATGCTCGCTGGAGGGACTAAAGGCTCCTGTGTTATTCAAAGCTGTGTTAATGTTTCTAATTATATTGTGTTTAATTTTTTCATAAATTACACCCAGTGTTTTCCTTCCGTTGACGCACAGCCGGGAACAATGAATTGTGTTCCAAACAAATGCCCCCTCCTTCACAGTGTTGCGATGCACATTTCATCTGAAAAAGCTGCCGCTGTCACAGCCATCTGGATGGGGCATCTATGCCAACCGGGGAATGTGTTATGCTACCTTACTAATAAAGTCAAAAGCCACTCCCGGCCGCTGGATGCAATTGTTGCCACCATAACAATTGTGTTTGTAATATATTGCTGCTTATGTAAAAAACCAACAGTCACCCTCGCCACTGTGTCAGAGGGAGGGTAAAAACCTAAGTGGTGACTCCTCACAACACAATGTTAATTCCGGGTGGGGGGGGGGATGCCACAACCCAATGGCCCCATCCCTCAGGGGGACCCCTGGAAGGCAAATCAGCATTGTACGTTGCTAATGCTGTCACAGGCATCACAAGGCATTTTGAGAAGGGTTAAAGGTGTAAGGGTAAAGTAACAGGTTCCTTTGCAGTTATGAGAGGCCGTAGAGGGAGAAAGGAAAAAAAGAAATGGGTTAACTCGATGCTCCATCTAGATCCAAAGATAAGACGCTGACTCCAGCCCAAGGCCACAGCACACAACCGACTCTCGGCTGCCTGCCAAGAAAGACGGGGGCCTGAATTCCAACCCCAAAGAGCTGTAAAAAAAAAAATCAGCTAAACAAAAGTGCAGGGGCTGCAAAAGGTCAGCAAGGAAAAAAAAGCCGTCTCGCGTCCCTAAAGCAGGTGTGTTTTAAAAAAAGTGGCGAAAAGCAGCGAAAAGCGGGGTTGAACTGGTACAAAAAGCATGGGGGACAGAAGTCCCTGAACTGGAAGGCCCCCCCCAAAAAACCCAGGTCTTAAAAATCCTCCCAAAAGCCAGGGCAGGTCAGAGATCAACAGCAAACTCTGGGCAGCCTGTGCACAGAACAAAACTCCCGTCCACCCTTCCCCCTCTTCTTCTTAGGTTACCCCCCGGCTTGGCCAGCCCCAGGTAGTGTGTGTGTAAGTATAAAAGGGGGCTAGGGCTTGGGGCACTAACGCTTCCTTCCTTCCTCTAAGTAACGTGAAAAGCACCCCTCACTCTCCGCTGTTGTTTTACTTTATTTTATTAATAAAGCTTTAAACCTTAGTCACTTGGTGTGCTCCTTCATCTCCTCCCCTAAACGATCCTGGGACCTCAGCCTAATCACCTAATGCTCCAGGCAAATTAATAACATAAATCTGTCACAATGGATGCCTGGTGCTTTCTATAAATCAGTCCCTGTTAAGTCACTTTTTGGTAGGAAACCGCAGTGCTTGTGTTTCACTTTTGGGGTGTGCAGATACATTTCCAGTTATAGGGTGCAATGAGTAGTATAAATAGAATACAGACTCCTGTTTCCTGCTGCCCCAGGGGCTCCCATGTGCTCAGGAGATTGTGGTTTCCTCTGCAGACCGTTTTTCCATGACTCTGACTGGGTTTCCTTTTGCTGTGCTGCTCTCATGGTAATACATGGTGGTGTCTTCACTTCTGAGCCCACTGATCTCTACATAGGCTGTACTGATGGAGTTGTCTCTGGAGAGAGTGAATCACCCTTTATATTTGTAGGCATAGCCAATTCCTCCATTATTTGGGTTAATCCTGTTGAATCCAAGAGAGCAAGTGGCTAGTAAAGCTGTACCCAGATGGTTTACAGGACAGCTTCTCTGACTCTCCAGGTTTTTTAATCTCAGCACCAGGCTGGACCCGTTGGATTTGGGACCAGACACCTGCAGTTACGGGACAAGAATGCATGAGTCTGAGTACCCTTCTTGTTGGCTCTCCTTTCTCCTCCACACCCCAGATCTCTCTGAAATTCACTTACCCGGGAAGGCTGCCAGCAGGAACAGAAAATGTAGCAAATATTTAATGGTTGTTTCTACAACACCCTCCACCTGGCAAAGCAAGGTGACTCCTTTTGATGGTGATTTTCTCCCATTGCAAAGTTTAAACAGGGAGTATAATTTCTTTATTTGCATATTCAACATCAAAGACTCCTCAAAAGCTCCAAGGAGCTGAACAGGAATCAGAACGCATTAACTGTGCTTGGATCTGGCATCTGCCGTTCTTCTGGTTCTCAGACCTCATCCTAATTTATTTTTAATTAAATCTCTTGCAGTACCACATCAGGAGAAGGCCCCGATTCTATTGTGAGCTGCAGTTTATTTAGGTAAAATATTCAAAATGGGATTCAAGGAAAAGAATTAGCATTTAAAGGGAAACACAAAACAGATGTAGAGGCTGAACTTTCCTGAGCTGTCCAAGGGATTTGGATACGCAGTTCCCTTTCAAATCGATGGGGACTTGAGGTGGCTATTTCAAAGCTACAAATGCTTGGGCATCAAAATCACATTGATTTACAACTGAGTTAGTGCCTAAGTGCCATTTGTGCCTTTGAATATTTATCCCTTGGAGTCTAAATCCCCTAGACAGCTTTGAGAATCTTAGCACTTGTCTACACATAAAAGGTGTACCATTGGAACTATAAAGGTATAATTCAGGGGGTACAACACACTCCTCCCCTAATATGGACACAGACATACCAGTGTTACACAGGAGGGCAAAGTAAGTTATGAAGATCTTCCCTTCTGGCCTTGAAATCTGAGTCTATGAATCAATATAAAGTTCCTTCAGCTAGTGTGGCTGTTCTTGGGTGGGAAGGAAAATGCAAAATCCCAGTATAAGGCACATTTCTGCAGCTATAACTGTGTCCAGTCTGGGGAGCATATTGATACAACTATTACAATCACTGTCAAGGTTCCTCCCCCACGCTGAACTCTAGGGTACAGATGTGGGGACCTGCATGAAAAACCTCCTAAGCTTATCTTTACCAGCTTAGGTCAAAACTTCCCCAAGGTACAAAATATTCCACCCGTTGTCCTTGGACTGGCCGCTACCACCACCAAACTAATACTGGTTACTGGGGAAGAGCTGTTTGGACGCGTCCTTCCCCCCAAAATACTTCCCAAAACCTTGCACCCCACTTCCTGGACAAGGTTTGGTAAAAAGCCTCACCAATTTGCCTAGGTGACTACAGACCCAGACCCTTGGATCTTAAGAACAATGAACAATCCTCCCAACACTTGCACCCCCCCTTTCCTGGGAAATGTTGGATAAAAAGCCTCACCAATTTGCATAGGTGACCACAGACCCAAACCCTTGGATCTGAGAACAATGAAAAAGCATTCAGTTTCTTACAAGAAGACTTTTAATAAAAATAGATGTAAAGAGAAATGAAGAAATCCCCCCTGTAAAATCAGGATGGTAGATATCTTACAGGGTAATTAGATTCAAAAACATAGAGAACCCCTCTAGGCAAAACCTTAAGTTACAAAAAAGATACACAGACAGAAATAGTTATTCTATTCAGCACAATTCTTTTCTCAGCCATTTAAAGAAATCATAATCTAACACATACCTAGCTAGATTACTTACTAAAAGTTCTAAGACTCCATTCCTGGTCTATCCCCGGCAGAAACCAGCATACAGACAGACACAGACCCTTTGTTTCTCTCCCTCCTCCCAGCTTTTGAAAGTATCTTGTCTCCTCATTGGTCATTTTGGTCAGGTGCCAGCGAGGTTACCTTTAGCTTCTTAACCCTTTACAGGTGAGAGGAGCTTTCCCCTGGCCAGGAGGGATTTCAAAGGGATTTACCCTTCCCTTTATATTTATGACACGCCCCCCAAATCTCAGCTAGGGTGAAACACTGGCTGGGATTTCTTCCTGGAGCTCT